TATTGATAACTCAAAGTATTTTCTCTTGTCGGAATCGCTGATGTAAGAGGGTTTTTGCAGCACAGTAGTCCTGGAAACAAATGAATCTCACATATAAATGCTTGACGCGTAGGCTGAATTTGTTCCCACTAACCTTCCCATTCGAGAAATCCAGTTGTTGCCGTTCTTGATCAGATGGTGCGCCTATCCCGATGAACGCGCACAACTCGCTTGCCTGTTGTTCCTGAATTAGACAAGCGCACTTCAGCTGGAAGGATCTGTCTCAAGTCATATTTGGAAACACCATATTTTGCAGTATAGTACAGCCCATTTCGTCACAATTCGACGGGCCGTGCCAGGAGGCATGAATAAGCTTGCACGCGGAGCATTTTAACCCCATTTCCTACCTGAACGCGGCCACTATTGGTAGAAAATGCGGTCGCGGGTAGGCAGGCTCATCCAGCACCTCCTCACACTGCTCCGTCAGATTGCCCGAACTTTGATAGAATCAGTGGAGTGGGGAGTTCGACAAGAAGACATTGTTCAGGCCATGCACGTTTATGAGTTCACATCGTGCAGGGTACGCGGAAGATCAAGGTTTAATACTCTTGAGAGATTCTTCTACGAGCTCGAGCAAGCCTCCACCACTCTCTCTACCAGAAGGTGAAGCCATTCATTAATGCCGTCGCGTCGAACTCAAGAAGGCCTACAGTATTCACGTTGAGCAGGTGCGTAATTCCGCGGTCGAGCCGCTCGAGTGCCGATCCCTGGAAACGTGGTACTGGAAGACGTGACGTGTTCAGCCCTTGGAAACGTGGTACTGGAAGACGTGAGGTGTTCAGCTCTTCTGACAGCGTCAGTATGGTGCGCGAATCATTTCCTTATTCCACCCAGATCCTACAAGCCATGGTAGAGCCAGATAGTAGAGGCTTTCGACTTGCAGGTACGTCGGTCTGACGGATAGTTTCCACTTACCGCGTCACTACGAGGAACTTTCAGGGGTACTCTTCAGCAGTGAACGATTTTTTTAAATTCAGCTGACTGTATTGTCGTACGTGGTGCACAGTGACACGAGCCACCATCCCTGAATCGGTTGTTCAACTCAGACCCACAAATTTCTATTGCTCTACTAGTTTACATAACAAATTCGGTGCAGTTCGGCTTGGTGTGGGCATTTTACCAGTTCACATAGATGACTGCCTGCACCTCCTGTGGTAAATTGAATAAATGAATCGAAATTCCTGTGAAGCTACACAACAGCGGAAGCTGCGCTGACTCTTGACAACAATCCATTGATCTTTGGAGACCGCATAGTTTATCACGAACTAGCAGAAAGTGCCCCTCCCAGGTCGAACAGTGCCACAAGAACATCTGTAAGAACAGCAAATGCACGATTTCGAATTTTCATGAAGCTATTAGAGAAAATTTATGGGGCTACTATGGATCACATGAGAGGACGATTTCGAAAGCAAAGAGATCGTTGGATTTTAGGTGGGAAGCAAAGAAATTGCTGGATTTTTAGGTGGGACGGAAGGGATAGGATCATAGCATTACGTGAAACCAAAAATCATGTAGAATCTCATAGAGAGGCTGTCCTCTCAGCTCTCGCAATGAGGAAGCGGCCTGCACCACAAACGGAAACGTCCAAATCGTACCGTACCGTAAAATTACGTGATAAAGTATTCTTAATCGCATAATCAAAAACTCGAAAAGTGCACCTAATGTTCTTCCAAGCTTCTACCCCGAAAAAGGTCCAGGAAGAGTCTTTGTTAGCCTACCGAGGCTGATTCAGACGCTTCATTGTGCTGACGTTTCGACGCAAATCGCCTTTTCGGAGCCTTTTTACTGGAGTGAACCCTACCGGTACTCTTAAGGTCTAGGAGGAAGTAGCAACTTATGAAGGTGCCAAATCCACTGAGAATGTGAAGCCCTTACTGGAGGGTTTTCTCCCTTGGATGCTTGATTGATACGGGCATTACTGGCGAACAGATACTGATTATTTTCAAAGGAGGTGCAACTTACAGAAATTCGTTCATGTTCCGGACCGAGCTCGGGAGCAACTCCCATTCGTTTCTGATGCTCTTTGAACGACTTGTACAGCGATTCCACCTGAAACGTTCATATTACAAAGTGGACATCTGCCATTCTTCTCCCTACAGAACACTCAGGATAAGTGGAACTTACCCGGCTACGCTTTTCCTTCCATCCTTCTCCCATTAAATAGATACAAGGAGGCGGACAAAAGAACCTTAAATTACATTTTCATGAATTTAGTCTCAGTCTCTTACTTCCTGACTACAGTAGTCTTGGATGAAAAATGGTTATTATAATCATATCTGACTGTTGACCACTGACTACCTCATTTGGAACGTGGGAAAACACCGTAACCGCTGTAATACTCACAAA